AGGCACGTGCATAACCGTAGTCAGTTAACCGCGCGTGCACCTAACCGTACATTTACTGCGTGGCAACGTGCGGTGATAACCGCGCAGTTGCCGTGCGGCATAACCGTAAGTTTACGCGGCGTGCAAACGTGCGTGATAACCGCGCAGTTGCGTGCGTGCATTAACCGCGCAGTTGCGTCGTGCATAACCGCGGCAGTTGCGTGCGTGTAATAACGTACAGTTACGCCGAGTGGCCATAACCGTAGCAGGTACGCGCGTGCATAACCGTACAGTTACGATTGCGTGCTAATAACCGTACATTTACGCGCGTGGCAACGTGCGTGGATTAACCGCTGGCGTTGCGTGCGTGCATAACCGTGACGAGTTAGCGGTGACACGTGCGGTGCAATAACGGCGCAGTTGATGCGGCGTGCCGTAGATCGTTCGGTAGGCGTCGCGCTACTCAGTGTCAGACGGAGAATGTCACCGGTTCACCTGTTGGCAACAGGTTTTACGTAATTCACGTGTCTAAAAAGCGCTTCCGTGGGGCGGCGTCGCACAAGTTTCTTGTGCACGCGGCAGCCCACAATCAGAGGTTTTGGCGCGCCGGAGTGTAGGCTGCACGCAGGGAGCAGCCGATAAAAGTAGTTGGCGACTAAACGCATGTGGCGCTCCGTAAGGCATGGCCTCAGTGCGCGTGCGACAGCGAGGAGTAAACGCACGATTGGATGGCATTCCCGTAAATTGGTCTTCCCTGGGAGAGAGGGAAATCGGTTTCTCTGTGTTACTGCGGGAAGCGCTTCGAGGACCTAACGTATGTTAGGTATCCCCTAAACGGCGGATTTACTGCCGGGTAGCTGTATGGGTGGAAAGGGAGAAGGCGGGGGAGTTATACGCATGCGCAGGCGAAACATTACATCATCCACTTGCGCATATGCGCAGCGTGCGTGGATTTTGAAGCGTTGAGTGTAGAAGTTTTTGATAGCGGTGTATCAGTTTTTCGCGGTTTCACCCCCGCAGCCCGCCTGGACCTCACCGCACGAAACATGCATGACATATCATCAAGAGCATATAAAGAATAAAACTTTCTTTAATAGGCTCTTGATATCATCAGTGATATCATGAAGCATGTTGTCATGGGTCTACCACGATGAGCATTGCTGTCGCAGGCGCATTCAACAGAACTGTAATCGCCTGTATCCGCGTACGTGGCTGTACGTTCGGCGAAGACTACGTACGTAGGTAAAGGCAATGCTGACAAAGATTCGCCGAGTCCGCCTGTGACAATGGCGAGGGCGGTTGAAATAATTGTAAACCGCGACTTGTTACTTCGGATCTCGCGTTGCCGACCGAATGACGTAGACTAAATCAGTCGGAATAATCGAGTTCGCAGGTATGGTCGCGCCTCGGCCGGCTTTGTTACAACCGTGACGTGGAACAGGAATGCGATGTGCGCGCCCCAGCGGCCGCACGCGCGCATTCCATAGTATACGCCGAGGACAAACCCAGCGCTTGATATCAGTTTGTGGCGTGGGTTTGCTGGCGAGCGATGTTGTTAGAATCCACTCTCTGCGTGCGCGTGGGCCGTGCGTGCGTGATCGTGTGCCGTGCGTGCATTGTGGCGCGACATGTGTTACATATGAAACGCCCAACACTGCTAAGCCGTTATCAAACACTCAAACACAAGTCTATTGCAGCGCCCCTATAGGTCCCCAGCGACTATATATTATAATATATATGTATATATATATGTAATATATATATATATATTATATATATATATATATGTATATATATATATATATATATATATATATAATATACTTCGCCTGCGCTTTTCGAGCACATAAACGAGACTGGTATCAGTGGTATGTGCAAAAAAATACGGTTAAAAAGCATTAGCCGTCATTTTTACCCTTCTACTCAAAAAACTATTTAGTCAATTACAGCCAGCTCGAGGCGGGGATGCCTGCTGAGGCTTGTTGCTAGGATACCAAACATCAGCACGCTGTTGATGGTTGGATATAACTGCGGCTCTGCGCTTATATTTATCCCTGGTTGTAGTTAGCACAAGGCCCGGGGAGCGACGGGTAGATCTTGGAAGAATTTCCTAAGAAACACGAGCCCACGAGCGGTACATTTCGGTGTTTGGGATACCGGATCTTAAGCTCGTTGCTTATTTGAAGGCGCGCATCGACGACAATTTGCAATAAATAAACTCATCTTAAATTAGTTTTAAATAGTTCATCGATACAAGTACACTTGAAAATATTCCTATATATCATCACTTAAAAGTTGAACAACGTGTGCATGTGTTTATATGCCTAAATCACTGTAATAATCATTGTTATACGCGAATGAAATTCAGTTTGATTTGTTGTACTATTTCTACTACAAATGATCAGCTATGATATATAGTGTACAGCAGTCATGCTGTGTGATAGCGTGTAATGGTATGCCTTGTGTTCTGGAAACAACCATAGGCACTGCATGACTCATCCGTGCAAGATGACACTGTTTTATGTTGTCACCGACATACGAGCGTGTTCGCGGATATCACGGACACATGTGACATCGTTTACGTTTCTGTGTCTCTACCTTACCACTCTTGTTGAGGTCGTTACGTTCTGTTGGTACTGGCATATGACACTTATAGTGCATGGTCACTGTTCCACCAATTTAATATGTGGCGCTGTCTTCCATGGGTACTGCTCTGCCACGTTGACAGATGGTGCTGTCATCTGTAGTCGCTGCACCACTGCATTGATAGGTGGCGCTGTCTTCAGTTGTCATTGCTCCACTGCATTGATAGGTGGCGCTGTCTTCAGTTGTCATTGCTCCACTGCATTGATAGGTGGCGCTGTCTTCAGTTGTCATTGCTCCACTGCATTGATAGGTGGCGCTGTCTTCAGTTGTCATTGCTCCACTGCATTGATAGGTGGCGCTGTCTTCAGTTGTCATTGCTCCACTGCATTGATAGGTGGCGCTGTCTTCAGTTGTCATTGCTCCACTGCATTGATAGGTGGCGCTGTCTTCAGTTGTCATTGCTCCACTGCATTGATAGGTGGCGCTGTCTTTTGGGGTCGCTGGTCCCCCGCCCGGTCGGACATGACAGTCATGACAGTGTCACGCAGGAATGCTGTGAGGTTGCAGTTGTCCAGGTCTAGCTGCAAGAACTCAGAGACAAGAGCTTGACATCTAGAAGAGAAACCCCACGGAGAGATGTCAAAACCACTAGATGGTTACAACTACTGGTTCAATACTAGAACGGGCGTAAACTAACGAAACGTATGGCAAACACGTACAGCAGTGATGTCGGTGTCCTCTGTGTGAAATCAGAGGTAAATTATACAAGTTGTCTCGTCTCGTTATAGAGTTCATATTTTTAAAGTAAGAGTTTAATGAAAGAAATTTTGAACTTAAAGTTTGAGTAAATATTTTTCCTTTGACAGAGTTTATATAGTTAATGCTTCAATACGCGTAAGGGCAGAGACGTCGTAGAATATATGTATGCCTGATAAAATGATATTCACAAGTAAGTTAACAGTATCAAAATGTGTCCGCGTAACTGCTGTGAAATCAATATCAGCAATAGAGAATAACATATAATTGGATAGGTAAAAGTAAGTTGCATTACAAGACAAGCAAGAGGTTGTGTATCTCGGCATAAAGTCTATTTTGACGAGGTTAATGCATATGGGCAAGTAAAGGTTATCCTTAAGTAAGTCTAAGACAGGTGGAATCTGCAGCGGCATTTTATTTTTTCTCACGGCAGCCGTGACAGCGATACACACACATCCCTGCTTGTTTCCACAGACGCTCGGGTCAGCTATCGGCAATTCAGTTCATCTTTCTCGAAATGTGCATGAACGCGTTATAGTTTGTGCTTGTTTATTCTAAAAACATTCGCATTTTTTAAACAGCCATCGTATTCGCTCAGCAGGAGACGATGTTTCCGATGCACATCTTCAAAAGATAGAAGGTTGAAATGTCTCTCCTTAGACGACGTACGCGGTGGCTGTGTGAGAAGGCGACGTACGTGTGATACTGTCAACAGGCGATGCTTTGAGCCCGCTTGTCCGCCATTAGCGTTAAACCATCGAGTCAACACTGCCGACACGACGTCGGCATGCGCCTCCCATTCGCGCCCGCGGCCAAACAAAACACGCGGCCAGTCACCTTGGCGACGTGCCAAGCGCGAGCGACGATGGAAAGTCGTGTTGATTTTAGGAAAGGTGAGGAGTTTTTTGCCGAAGCTTGTTAGAGCTGCCGCCAGTACCGCACCTCTTGACTCGCCGACAAAGTCACGAGGCCATCTTCGTTATCACCAACAGCAGGGCTGGTAGATGGGCCCCGTACGCGCCGACTCCGTTACTACACCGTTAGTTGATTACGTAGTGGTGAGGCAGAGTAGCCAGTCTAAGTAGCTGTCAGTCAGTAAAGCTCGTCTTTGGGATGGCTATGGTGTGCGTAGGTAGGGGAGAGGACGAATGGGATGAGTGGTGGTGGGTGCAGGCGGGGGGATGGGTGACATGTGTAGGTATAACTTAGCCTTAGGGATAATTAAGGAGGATGGCGGTGGTGTGCGTAGGTAGGGGAGAGGTGGAATGGGATGAGTGGTGGTGGGTGCAGGCGGGGGGATGGGTGACATGTGTAGGTATAAGGGATAATTAAGGAGGATGGCGGTGGTGTGCGTAGGTAGGGGAGAGGTGGAATGGGATGAGTGGTGGTGGGTGCAGGCGGGGGGGATGGGTGGTGTGTGTAGATATAAGGGATAAGGGGGAGTGTGGTGGTTTGTATAGGTATAAGGGATAAGGAGGAAGGGTGGTGGTGTGTGCAGGGATAAGGAGGAAGGGTGGTGGTGTGTGCAGGGATAAGGAGGAAGGGTGGTGGTGTGTGCAGGGATAAGGAGGAAGGGTGGTGGTGTATGCAGGGATAAGGAGG